CCATCTCCTCCATCCTTCCCTATCTCCTCCATCCTTCCCATATCCTCCATCCTTCCCCATCTCCTCCATCTCCTCCTTCCTTCTCCATCTCCTCCATCCTTCCTCATCTTCTCCATCTCCTCCATCCTTCCCCATCTCCTCCATCCTTCCCCATCTCCTCCATCCTTCCCCATCTGCTCCATCCTTCCCCATCTCCTCCATCCTTCCCATCTCCTCCATCCTTCCCATCTCCTCCATCCTTCTCCATATCCTCCATCCTTCCCCATCTCCTCCATCCTTCCCCATCTCCTCCATCCTTCCCCATATCCTCCATCCTTCTCCATATCCTCCATCCTTCTCCATCTCCTCCATCCTTCTCCATATCCTCCATCCTTCCTCATCTCCTCCATCTCCTCCATCCTTCCCCATCTCCTCCATCCTTCTCCATATCCTCCATCCTTCCTCATCTCCTCCATCTCCTCCTTCCTTCTCCATCTCCTCCATCCTTCCTCATCTCCTCCATCTCCTCCTTCCTTCTCCATCTCCTCCATCCTTCCTCATCTCCTCCATCTCCTCCATCCTTCTCCATCTCCTCCATCTTTCCGCATCTCCTCCATCCTTCCCCATCTCCTCCATCCTTCCCCATCTCCTCCATCCTTCCCCATCTCCTCCATCCTTCCCATCTCCTCCATGCTTCCCCATCTCCTCCATCCTTCCCCATCTCCTCCATCCTTCCCTATCTCCTCCATCCTTCCCATATCCTCCATCCTTCCTCATCTCTTCCATCTCCTCCTTCCTTCTCCATCTCCTCCATCCTTCCTCATCTCTTCCATCTCCTCCTTCCTTCTCCATCTCCTCCATCCTTCCTCATCTCCTCCTGTCCTCCATCCTTCCCCATCTCCTCCATCCTTCCCCATCTCCTCCATCTTTCCCTATCTACTCCATCCTTCCCATCTCCTCCATCCTTCTCCATCCCCTCCATCCTTCCCATCTCCTCCATCCTTCCTCACCTCCTCCACCTCCTCCATCCTTCCCATCTCCTCTATCCTTCTCCATCTCCTCCATCCTTCCTCACCTCCTCCATCTCCTCCATCCTTCCCATCTCCTCCATCCTTCCCATCTCCTCCATCCTTCCTCATCTCCTCCATCTCCTCCATCCCCTCCATCCTTCCCCATCTCCTCCATCCTTCCCATCTCCTCCATCCTTCCCCATCTCCTCCATCCTTCACATCTCCTCCATCCTTCCCCAACTCCTCCATCTCCTCCATCCTTCCCCATCTCCTCCATCCTTCCCCATCTCCTCCATCTTTCCCTATCTACTCCATCCTTCCCATCTCCTCCATCCTTCTCCATCCCCTCCATCCTTCCCATCTCCTCCATCCTTCCTCACCTCCTCCACCTCCTCCATCCTTCCCATCTCCTCTATCCTTCTCCATCTCCTCCATCCTTCCTCACCTCCTCCATCTCCTCCATCCTTCCCATCTCCTCCATCCTTCCCATCTCCTCCATCCTTCCTCATCTCCTCCATCTCCTCCATCCCCTCCATCCTTCCCCATCTCCTCCATCCTTCCCATCTCCTCCATCCTTCCCCATCTCCTCCATCCTTCACATCTCCTCCATCCTTCCCCAACTCCTCCATCTCCTCCATCCTTCCCCATCTCCTCCATCCTTCCCCATCTCCTCCATCCTTCACATCTCCTCCATCTTTCCCCAACTCCTCCATCTCCTCCATCCTTCCCCATCTCCTCCATCCTTCCCTATCTCCTCCATCCTTCCCATCTCCTCCATCTTTCCCCAACTCCTCCATCCTTCTTCATTCTTCACATCTCAAGTCCCCGTCCTCTTCCATCTCCTCCAGCACTTCCTCTTCTTTCTCCTTTCCTCCTTCTCCTTCCTTTTCTCTTCCTCTTCATTTTCTTCCTCTTCCTCCTCCTGCCTTATTCCTCTCCTCTTTTTCTACTTCTTCATTTTCTGCCTCACTCCCCTTCCTTCTCCCCATTTCTTTTGTTACTCTTCCTCATCCTCTTCTGTCTTCATCATCCAGCCACTTCCATGTCCTGGGTATCTGAGTTGGACTCACTCCTTTATCATATCACACATCTAATTTCCCCTACAACCCACTAATAACTCCCATTGTATGCCCATTTTACAGAGGGGACAGACCTTGAAATGGCCTGCCCATAGTCACACAGAAAGTTAAAGGGCTGAGCTGTGAGCCTGGGTTTTCTGACTCCAAAATCCACATTCTCGCCTCTGCACGAGGTAAAAGAGACAAGGCCTCTGTGATCCTGGATGGACTGAGCCACACAGAAGAAACCAAGAGCAATGAAAAGGAAATCGTCAGACAAAATTGGCCCAGGAATTTATTACACTAACCACATCATTAGCTGACAAAAAGAATCTGCACAAAGCCAGGGAGAAGAGGAAGGGGTGCATGTGTGGGTGGGGGGTAACCCAGCCTTGTCACAGGTCCTGTCTACCTTCATGTCAAAGCTGCCTCTTAAACAGAGGTTAATCTATTTCCTTTATCAAATTCTCCTGCTGACAGACAATGTCACAGTCACTCATCTGTCTGACCTGAGCTTTGTTCTTTTGGACATCTAGAGGCTCCAGTGCCTTTGAGGCCAGAGGGCAAGATCTTGAGATGGCTCCTCCTCCTCAAGATGTCACATGAGGAAAGTTGGCCTAAGAGATGTGTGATTACTTATTTTAGAGACCTATATTTTCTGCTTATTTATTTATTCATTCTGCAGTGCTGGGGTGGGACCAGAGCTTCATGCATGTCAGGAGAGAGCTCTACCACTGAGATGCACCCCATCTTGGAGACCTATCATCTTTTGAAAATGACAAAGGAAAAGGGGATCCAGCCTGGCATTTTGATCGAGGGCCTCAGGACTTAAGCTGGTCGTCCTAGCTAGAATTTCCTCGGCACTTTATGCCAGCAACTCTATCAAGTGTATTTAAACATCAACTATTTCACTTCAGCTCCACAATAACTCTGAGACTGGTGCTCTTATTGCACATCCAGGGCATTTTAAAACATGGATACAAATCCTTATAAGCTTGGACTGTTCCATCCAGAGTTGGGCTCTCTGTCTCCTTCCCTTGAAACTGAACAGACGTGGACTGCTTCTATGAGTAAAGCACAACAGAAGTGACACTGCCAAAGTCCCACCTCACTTGCTAATTTGGCTGCTCTTCAAGCTATGAGCTGCCATAGAGGAAACACAACGGCTTGGAAGCAGCCATATTGGGAGGAAGCCCAAGCCACAAGGCAGGTCCACACGCGGGTACGCTACTCAATCTCTCTGCTGAGCCCAGACTTTGACTTCTCCAGCCAGGCACCAGACATGTGAGTGAAGAAACCTCCAGCTCATATCAGAGGTCAGTAAACTTTTTCTGTAAAGAACCTCACAGTTGGGCTGGGGATGTGGCTCAAGTGGTAACGTGCTTGCCTGGAGTGCTCGGGGTGTTGGGTTCGATCCTCAGCACCACATACAAATAAAATAAAGATGTTGTGTCCACCAAAAACTAAAAAATAAATATTAAAAAATTCTCTCTCTCTTTAAAAAAAAAAAGAACCTCACAGTAAATATGTCAGGCTTCACAGTCCACACCATTCCTGTCATGACCTCTTAACTCTGTGATTGCAGTAGTACCAAGGCAGTCACAGACAATCTAAGGGTGGCTATGTCCCAATATGATTTATTAAAATATCAGATGGTGGGCTAGACTTGACCTGTGAGCTATAATGTGCCAATACAGGAGTTTTCTCAGTTGAATCCCTGGACATCACAGAGCAGAGACACTCTTGTCCCTTTATGGTCTATCCCAGTTCCAAACCCACAGATTTGGAGCATCATACCAGAACGCTGTTATAAACTAAGGTTGGGGTAGCTTGCAGGGCAACTGCCGATAACGGAACCACCCCCATTTTACACATAGAAAAACTGTGGGCCAGAGAGTTTAAATTACTTGTCCAAACTTTCACAGCCAGTAGGTCAAGGAAGCCAAGGCTGGATGCCAGGTTTTCCTGACTCTAGAGGCCAAGGTCACTTATCTGCTAGATTGATGTCACAAGGAGCCAGATGGTGAATGGCTCTGAGCTCTAGGAGTAAAAACTGTGGATGAGGGTGTGAGAGCAAACAGACATCTGGGTTTGGCGAGGAAGCATGGAGGGAGAGATCAGAGATGGGGGAGGGACCCAATTCTGCAGGGATGTGTGGGCTGCAGTGGAGAATCTGATTTGTTTTCTGAAAGCCATAGAAAGCCATTGGATGGCATTTCAGCACAGAGTGACGAGGTTCCAATTACATGAAGAATCACTCTGGCTGCTGTGTGGACTGGGGAGGGGCCATCCCTCTCTAGTCTTCCCAAGAAGTCAGACCGGAAGGTCCACCGCCATCCAGATGCTCAGCCGGGACCTGACTCAAACCCATGACCTCCCCCCGTCTCCAGGCTGATTCGCTCTTTACCCACTTCAAACACAAGGCAGGAAGGGAAAGGGTCCAGAGGGGCCCACTCTTGACGAGCCTCCTGTAGAAGGAAAGCCAGCTAACTGGCCACTGCTCACAGCTCAGGGCCCCTACAGATCTCCGCCCACCAGTCTCCACCAGAAGCTGAGGACCAGATGCCCTGCCCTTAGTCCAACAGATGCTCAGAAAGCCAGGAACCATCTGTGCAGCTCATCCGGGCAGATGGGGAGACGTCTCTCGGAGCAGAACAGGCAGGATCTGAGCCGCCGGGGAAGCTCCCTGGTGGCTTCCGCTCCCATGCCTGGTGTCCCATCCCTGCACACGCATTCATCCGGTTCCCTGTGTCCGCTCTTTAAATTAGACAGACTCCTGGCTTGTGCATCTCTGCGGATTGCTGGATGCCCCTCCACCCAAGCCCTAGCGCCCACACGAGCTGCCAGGTGTGTGCCGCAGTCCCGGGTCAACCCATCCTCTCTCCTGCCCACCACCTGGTAGTGCCAGCCCCACATACCCCACATGCCCCTCCCAGCCGATGCCCAGCCTCACCTTGTTGATTTTGTTGGTTTTGGGGAGAGTCTGACTGATGTGCAGGTCCGAATACCGAGGTGGCTTCCGGACAGGGTTGTTGATGTCACACGGGACCGACTCTGTCCGGACCAACCTTGCTGGATCCGTAGGGGTAAAAGCAATGATTTGAGAGTTTAAGTATCACTTTGGTTTTGATCATGCCAGGAGAGCAGAGTTGAGCACCCACCTCGAGGACCCGCCCCAACAGTGGAAGTGACAGTCACTGTGATAAGATCTGGGTGCTCTCTGAGGTTCCTCAACTCTTTGCATTGTCAATTCATGACTCTTGGCAATAAAAATGATTATCAAACCCCCCCCAAGCTATTAAGTTCTTTTTTTCCACCCACACCACCACTGTTTCATATTGACACTCATCTCAGAATTGAACCTCCCTTAAAATACAAGAAGGTCCTGATGTCTCGGGGCCTATGATTCACAGACAAGCTCATGAGACCGCTGTCCCTGCATTCTCTGAGCGTCGTGTTAGAATCACCTTTTGTTACTTTCTGGGTTTAGCAGGACTGAGCAGCCTGTTGCACGTCCATCCTTTGTCCCAATAACCACGGAACCCTAAAAGAAAGACTCAGCTCGCCCAGCACCCCCTGGGATCACGCCCAAAGCCACACAGGAAGCTGAGCATACAAGCAATGCTCAATAAATGCGTCTGACTCCAGATCACATCATCAGTCCCCTCTCCCCTTTGGTGAGGGACAACAGGGAGAATCGAAGAATGAGAACCGGGTGCCTGGCAGTGGCTCTCTGTTAGTTGCGAGGGCGCCAGGGCTGGTGGGGAGGGGAGCGGGTGGAGAAGTTAAAGCACTGACCCAGGGATGTAATTTCTCTGCTCAGCCTGAGCTGTCATCACCATGGAAACAGACTATTTTCTACTTCCCCCCAACAATGGGGAGAAGGAAGAAACTGGCCAACTTCTAGAAAGTTCAGTTTGCTTGTGCCTGTGGTCTTGGAACACAAGGGGCATGACCGTGAAGGTGGGTGGGTGGGAGGGAGCCTTTCTTCAAATGCCAGCCTCTGAGCGCAGGTCACCTTCCAGCAGGTTGGGTCTCGCCTCCACGTGGGAGTCCATGGGGCTCCAGCAGGACCCACCATGCAGAGGAATTGGGTGGGAGGAGAATTCCCCAAGGAAGCTGACCCCCAAGCCTAGGAGCTCAAGGGCTGTGAGGATTCAGGTTTCAAAATAGCCTCACTGAGTGCACCCAGTTACTCCAGGAACAGATGGTTCTTAATTAAGGATGTGGGGAGGGGAAGGAGAAGAAAGTTCAATTCTGTTCCTTTGCTTCTCTCTCTTCCAGGAGATCAATGTTGCAAAGATCATCAAAAACCAACTGCCTGTTGGCATCGAGACTGCTTTGGGTAGCAATTTGCCTCCTTCTTTAAGTTTCCCTTGGATTTCTTCTAAAATTAGGCAGCTTCCCCTGAGCATGCTCTAACCAAGGCCAGGGATATGGGAGAATGAGGAGAAAAGATCAGATTAGCAGCTTGCTGTACCTGAAAGTCGCTTCCTGGTGGCTCTAAGGTGCTGCTCAATGTCTACATGGGGTGGTGGCCAAGATGCAGCCAGAAAGAATTTTAAATATTTAATGAGTTGCTAACAGTTACAAATAAGAATACGGCCCATAAACCTCTCTCTCTGGGCTTTGGTTTGAAACATCTAAGGCTCTGGCAATACAGGTCTGCACTGTGCTGGAGTGGCCACGCTCCAGACAGCACGCACCCAGGCTTTCCAGCTGCCATGGCCCCAGGTGGCTAGCTCCTCTTATGTAGGATGCTAGCTTGGCCCTTGCACGCCTCCAAGTTTTCATGCAACTCCTGTTCATGAGCAACACTTTTCAACTTTAAAGGACACGGAGATGCCTTCCAAATACTATTGCAAATGTGGATTCTGATTCAGTAGGTGTGGGGTGGGGCCAGAAATGGTGCATTTCTAAAATGCTCCCAGGTGATCCCAGGCTGCTGCTCCATGGACTGTGCTGTGAATGGCAAGGGTTTGGACCACGAAGTCCAGGAGAAGTTTCTGCAGTGAGGAAAATGCTCCAATCTGCCCCATCCAATATAGCAGCCACATGGGGCTGCAGAGCTCTTGAAGTGTGGTTGGTGGGGGCTGAGTAATTAAATTTGTATTTTAATGTCATTTTAGTTAATCTAAACTTAAATAGTCAGATGTGGTTGGGAGCTACGTTATTGGTCAGCACAGGCCTAGAGAGTCCCCCCAGGGATGAACTGCAATATGGATGATGGAGTCCGAGGATAACGACTCCAAAGGGCAAGAACTGGGGGAATGGAGTTTAAAAACTGGACTAGCAGGCTTTGCAAAGAGTTGGCCCCTATCGAGTCCTTGGAAGGCAGGGGAAATGCCTTTTCTTCCAGCTAAACTGGTCTTGCTTTTGCAACACTGAAAGGCTGGTAATAACCTTCTGGTCTGGTCAGGTTGGTCTAGACACTCCCAGGGCCCCAGAGAGTGACATACAGATGGCCCAAACTAACAGATCTGAGTCACACCCCTCCCCAGGCACACTCCTGCAAGGCCAAAGGATTGAGTGTGGAGAGCACATCATGGACAAACCCTCGCCAGCACTGTTTCCAAGAGGGAAGGAAGAGCAACAGAGCTGGGGGAAGGAGAAGAGAACAGAAATTGTGGGAGGTGAGGACAGGGGTGGTGAACCTGGGGGCTGAATATCAGAGGGACCGGGATAAAAGCAAGGAACAGGGAGGACAGACATACAACATGGATAAAGGACACAGCTGCCAGGAAGAAGGTGCCCGGGAAGCAGAAGGTGTCTGGAATCATGCCAGGTGGGGTGGCTATTTTGGGTGGTCTGTAGGAGCACCCCCACCCAGGGCAGCAAGGGTTAAATACTTACCACCCCGGTGGATGATCAGGAGGTGACAGGGCGGGGCTTCTTTGGTGCATTTGTTGTGGCACTTTAACCTGAGAAAGAGAGAGAGAGAGAGATGGGTGGATGAGTGGGCAGGTGAACTGACGGACAGGATGGAGGAGTGAGTGGATTAGAGGAAGGATGGACAGATGGATGGAGGAATGGGTGGGTGAGTGTATGGATGGGTGAGTGGGTAGACAGATGGAGGAGTGGAGGGAGAGGTGAACAGATGAAGGGAGGGATGAATGGATGAGTGGATGAATGGCTAATTGGAAGGATGAATGGATGGATGGATGGATAGATAGGTGGATTGGTGGATAAATGGGTAGATGGATGAATGAGTAGAGGGATGAGAGGATGAATAGATAGGTGGATGGATGGATGGATGAGTGAACTGACAGGTGGATGGATGAGTAGATAGATAGGTGAATGGATAGATTGGTGGGTGGATGGATGGATGGACAGATGAACAGATGAATAGATAGGTAGATGGAAGAATGGATAGATGGGTGGGTGGATGGATGAGTAGATACATGGATAAATGGGTGAGTGGATGGATGGATGGATGGACAGATAAATAGATGAATGGATAGATGGGTGGGTGGATGGATGGATGAGTAGATAGATGGATAAATGGGTGGGTGGGTGGATGGATGGATAGATGAGTAGATGGGTGAGTAGATGGATACATAGGTGGATGGATGCATGGATGGATACTGAACTGATAGATAGGTGGATGGATGGATGGATGGATAAATAGATATGTGGATGGGTGGATAGGTAGGTGGTTGGTTGAATGGATGGATGGTGGATAGATAAGTGTGTGGATAGATAGATTGGTAGATGGATGGATGGATGGATGGGTAGATTGAAAGATAGGTGTGTAGATAGATGGGTTGATGGATGGATAGATAGGTATGTGGATAGATACAGATGGGTGGATGGATGGATAGATGAGTAGATGGATGAGTGGATAGATGTATGTATGTATGTATGTATGGATGGATGGATGAGTGAACTGATAGGTAGATGGATGAATGGATGGATAGAGAGGTGGATGGATGTATAAATGGAAGAATGGGTAGATGGGCAGATGGTGGGTGTGTGGATGAATACAGTGGGTGAGTGAAAAGGTGCCTCAGTGGTCTGGAGACTCTGGACACTGGTTAGATGTTAGATGGGACAGGGCAGCTACTACAAAGACTGGAACCCAGATAATTAACTGTGGAGAGGGGCTGCTGCCTCCTCAGTCTCTCGGCTCCATCCCGAGTGGTCTAGTAGTGGATAGCAATTGTTCCACCCCAGCGCCCACGTGGACTTGATGTGTTGAAGCACACCCTGTCCCATTAGTCAGTACTTAGTGTTGGCACTGCCATTCTAATGACCATGTGCCTGATTTTCCAGTCACTGTACTAAACACTTGGCATATACAATGTCGTTTGATCTTCATAACAATGTTAAGAAATGGGTAATTTTTTTTAACATTCTCATGTTCAAGGTGGAAAACTTGGGTTAACTGGACTTGATCTGGCAGTAAACCCGGGTCAGTTGTCCCAAAGTGGGCTGTCACTCATCCTGAAGGCTCAAGCTGTAGGAGACTTGAAGCCAGAGCTTCCCATCAGGGTGAGATTAGCAGCAGGTACGGAGAGGTCTTAATCTGAAGAGTTTAGAATCAAAATCCCTTCTTTGAGACGAGCCTATGATGTCACCTTACTTTCTCCCCACAGTTGCCTGAAATTGCCAGGACAATAGAGATGCCAGGTTCCTGCAGGCAACTTCACGCCCCCCCCCCACGGATTCCCTCATCATGCTCAGAACCCTGACTTCCAGGAGCCCGTGGCTTCCCCAGGTGATGGCCCTCGGGCTGCCTAGAGGGTCAGTATCAAAACAGAACCTCAGAGATACCATGCAGACAAGTGGGAACTTGGGATCCGTCTTCTCATCTCTTCCCCTCTGTGTTTGTGGGGAGGGCAAACAGAGGAAGTCACTGCAGAGGGTGGCAAGAGGGTGACACAGAAATACAGGGAAATGGAATGGGGAGCCAAGGGATGGGGGCAGGGTCCCTAGGCAAGTGTCACCTGGGAGTGTTTCTCCCAAGAGGCACACTGGAGTTAGGGGACAAGAAAGAGACTTGGGGGGCTCAGGGGTCAGAGGTTAAGGGTCACCCAGGCCAAGTGCAGGAGAACAGAACGGGTGGAGCCAATCTGAGGAGGGATGTGGGTGGGCCCCGAAGCCACGCAAGGAGCCTACATCTGATTCCACAGGTACCAGGAACCCCGGGAGGGTCCGGAGCACTGTGACCCAGCCTCACAGGTTTGGGAAGCCCTGAGCTGGGGAATCTGTGGATGCCACCCGGAGTCCATCCAAGGAGTGTCTGCACTCAAAATAGCTAGACTCCACCCTGGAAGCTTCCAGAAAGAAATTCTTCCTTCCTGCCACCCCCACTCAGGAGTCTTTCTAACCAGCCTGGCTGGAAGGGTGATTGGCAGATGCAGAGAAGCCCTCTGCTGTGGGGACAAGTGACTGCACCTAACCTTGGGACCACTGCCAGACCAGGACAGGACAGGCAGGCCCTCCGTGACCTTGGTCTGTTTTCTGCCCTCCCCACCCCCGCCTTCTCCCCTTCAGTCTCTTGCTGCGTGTGTCTTGCAGAAATGGAAAAGCCTCCCTTTACCCCTGGCCAAAGGGAGTGGGACCCGGGACGCTTTCCCTTCCAGCCAGGGGGTTCACTGGGCCTGGGAACGAGCCCTGCTCCTGCAGGGACCCCAGGGATATGTCTCTGTGCCCAGGGAGACACTGAAAGCACACTCAGGGCTCTGGAGTGAGGAACTGGGGCTGCACACCCAGGCTCTGCTGATGGGCGGGATTAGCCCTGTGATGAAGTGACATGGCCCTCGGAGGGAGGGTACGAGGGACCGCAGCCAGGCTCTGGGCCAGGCAGGCAGGGTCCCACTTTTCCAGCTGGGGATGCACATCAGCCCCTTCAGATTAGATCCCCGTTTTCACTGCCTAGGGAAGAAAGAGCATCCCGCACGGTTCTCAGAACACCCACCTGCTGCCAAACCGCATTCCCAAGCCGCACCTTCCAGGGTTCTCGTGGGGAAAGTGGGGGGTGGGGGGAATTTGTGGCAGAATGCGTGAAGACCCCCACAGAGTCAAAGGAAGGTACTCTTCTTCCCAGATGAGAGATGTCTGGGAAACGAAATCTTCTAGAAGACAGTGCTCCCTCCAGAGGGAAGTGGGGTCAGGAGGGTATACCAAACCAACCTCGGTTCAAATCCTGAGGCCTCCACTCCCTGGCTGGGACAACTTGGGCAAGGCCCTGACCCACTCTGAACCTCAGTTTCTTCCTCTGTGAAGTAGGGACAACCATCTCATCTTCCTCACAGGGTTGTAGAAAGGACCAATGTTAGGAAACCTAGGACAGACGCTTGGCTCACTGTAGGTGCTCAAGAAGTAGCAGCCACCCTACCTTTAACTCCTCTACTTTCCATCATTACTGCTGGTTTGTGCAGCAGCTCCAAAGCGCACACCCAGACTCATTGCTGGAAGACTTTTTCTCTGGTTGGAAACTTGGGCTGGCTGGGGAACCTGGAGCCCTCAACCAACCATGGTGGGAGTCGGTTGATGAACAGCCCAGTCTCCTCTACCTCGGGTGCCATGATGTCTGCTCGTGGTAAGACTAGACCCCAGCTGCCCGCGGCTGTGACCTGCTCTTCAGTGTACCCAGGACTGGTCGCCTTCTCTCCCCCTGCTTCCCTCCTGCACCCTCTTAATGGTGTGACCTGGGACCACCTCTCAAACACGTGCCTTGGAGCCCTTGGCTTAGGATCTAGGGGTCTGGATAAGACACCACGATTATTAAAAAAGATTCCCAGCACCAAAGTGACACGTCCCATGGCTTGGCCATGCTACCTTCAGAAAGCGTGGAATCTTGGGAGGAATTTATTTAAAACTTTCATTGAAAATAGCTTTCAAAAAAAAAAAAAACTTCCAAGGCTTAATAGGATAAGCTTCAATTATGGAGAGGAGCTGCTTGGTTGGAACATCTCATTGCCCCAAAGGAGCCGCTGGCTAAATGAGACATCTCTCCAATGGAAAGTTAAATATGCAAATTCACCTTAAATATGCAAATTTTATCTTAACTATGCAAAACGGGGTCTCTCCCCATTCACATTAACCTGGTGCCTAATGCATGAGGCAAACACTGGAGAGATGGAGAGAGGGAGGGAGGGGGAAAGAAAGAAAAAGGAAAGATGGACAGGAGGGACACTGTCCAATAGGGGTGACCTGGGAGGGTCACAGTCTCTCAAAATTCTTGGGAAAATGACGTCTATTTCTTATCATTTGCTTGCCTCTTAGTGGAATGCAAACTACGACCCTCTCAACAGCCTCTTCCCTCTTCTCTCCAGAATGGGGCCGGAGGTAGGATTCGGCCAGAAGCAAACTGGACCGCCATGGATCTTGCCCAGGAACCGTGGGGGACAAATGGCCCCTGTTACGAGAAGCTCTGCTGTTTCCTTAATAGTTTTGTCACAGCCCACGGCGGACACAGGCCCGGAGCCCAGCAAGGAGCCGGGGTCAGGACACTCACCAAGTGGAGGAGCGACAGGCCAACTCCTGCTGGGGAGAGTGTCTCATCGACTTCCAATGGTTCCCTGGGGATGCTCACCGACTTACGGAAACTGCTGGGGGCGGCCGAATCCCCCATTTCCACTTTCTCTTAGTCTATCCCAGCTTAATGGCAATAGCCCACCTGCCCTTCCTTACAGAGTTCAAATGCAAATGCTTTCAAAAGCTGCACTGAAACCCAGCTCAGGGGATAACAAGCACCAACATCAGCCCAGAGCTCTGTGCAGCCCACTGACCCTGGACCACAGTGCGGTAAGAGGTGGAGGCTGTTGTGCCCATCCCAAAGCCAAGAAGACTGAGGCCCAGGAAGCAGCCCAAGTCGTACTCGTGGTAAAGGGCAGAGGAGTAGAGACGATTCACTCATTCACACCCACAACAAACATTGTTTGGTTCCTCCTCGGTGTTCAGTGGACCAGGACTT